CAGAGTAGCTGGGGAGTGGGAAGATGAGAACTGGTGAGTGGGTAGTACAAGTTGAATGCGCGGAGAATCTGTGGAGCTGGAAGATGAACACTGGCTCACTGGCGACTGTGTCGTACAACTGTAGTACGCGGAGTAGCTGGGGAGCTGGAAGATGAGAACTGGCTGCCTCAGCTTACTCGGACACACACACAGACAGAGACGCATATACACACGGACATAGATACACACACAGAGACCCACACATTACCTCAACTCACTCGATTTGACACTTCACACTGCACACTTAACAGAGAACTCGCACTCAGACTTCCTACGTGATGAAAAAGGTTTTCGGGCCACTCGTTGTCTAGTTTCTTTTTTTCAATCTCAAGCTCCAAAAAAACCATGTGAGAGCGTCCAAAAGTTTGTTCAACCCCAAAACGGTTTTTATGATTTGATTTTTTTTTAGCCTCAAACTTTTTTTTGAGTTGCAAGGTGCTTGTTCCTCAAAAATGTTGTTGTTCAACTCCAAGGAAAAGAGAGAGACACGAATGAAAATAGAGAGCGAGAAAAGGCGAGAAAACTGCTCAGCCAAGGGTTGCGTGTGATGTTTGTGGTCAGTCGTGGGCGGTTGGTTGGGTGCACTGGACTGATGACAGGGGAGAATGGTCACACGTCATTGTCTAAACACTGGTCGCGCGACACTGTCGAAGTTGCAAGTCACACGGGTTGAATGACCGCAGCGCTGGGTGGTCCAACCAACTGACCAACCAGCGCCGACGCGTCTATGCTTGGTTTGCATTGCGGGGAGGCGCACCCTCCCCTGCACCCCCTTCGGTTTCCTAGCCCACCAACCAACCCACACCACGGACCAAACAACCACCGACACAACCAACCAACCCAAGCAACCAACCAACCAACCATCCAACCAACCAACCAACCAACCAATCCACCAATCATCATCCGACGCACGCACTTCTTGTGCACATCAACAACCGCTGACACGTCAAAACTTGGTTTGCATTGCGGGGCCGCTGCGTTCCCCACACCCCCTTCCGTCTTTTTCAAACCAACCTGCAAAAAAAACTAGACGACGAGTGGCCCGAAAGCATTTTTCATCACGTAGGAAGTCAGAGTGCGAGGTATCCGGTAAGTGTGCGGTGTGAAGTGTTACGTAGGTTTCCTGCTAGTAGCTAGTAGCTCAGTGGCTTCAGCTAGATGTCCACACGGCATGAACATGTGAAACATGTGACGTGAACGGGTCATGGAGATTCTCGGTTGCGGAGAGCGTGCCCAAATTGGAGAGATAAAAGGTGCCCATCATGATGTTCGATGATCTAGGTCATCGACATAGGTGGAGTGGAGTTGATTCGGCGAAACGAAACGAAACGAAACGAAACGCGAAACCAAACGCGAAACGAAATACGAAACTAAACGAAGTCGAGTGAGTTGAGGTAGTGTGTGGGTTTCTGCGCGTGTGTCTAGGTCCGTGTGGAAATGAGTCTGCGTATGTGTGTGTTCGTGGAAGTTGAGGGAGTGTGTGGGTGTCTGTGTGTGATGCGGCCTCCCAAACCCCCCACCGGCGGCCAAGCGGTGGCAGCCCAGCTCATCGTCGTGAGCATTTGGGCTGCTGGTAAGGGGACAATGGCAGCCAGCGTGCTGGCTTACCCACTTCAACTATGATGGTAGCCAGCGTGCTGGCTTTGCCATCTGGACAATGGCAGCCAGCGTGCTGGCTTACCCACTTCAACTATGATGGCAGCCAGCGTGCTGGCTTTGCCATCTCAACAATGGCAGCCAGCGTGCTGGCTTACCCACTTCAATTAGGATGGTAGCCAGCGTGCTGGCTCATACCCACTGCAACTATGATGGCAGCCACTTCAACTATGATGCTAGCCAGCGTGCTGGCTTTGCCATCTCAACAATTGCATCACCACATGCCGCACTGCAGACTGAACAATAACGTGTGAATCATCTGCCTCTGGTCATCCTGGTTGACGCTGAAGAAGTGGTCGTCAACAATGCCAAGGTTCCCTGGCATGATGGCTGGGCAAAGAGGAAGACCTACGAGCTAGTGGGCTGCAAAGTAGTAAATAGCGCATGCATAGGCATAAGAAGGCTCTGGTTCATGTGCGATATGAATATTGCAAAAGCTTGTGGGTTGCGTGAACCTTCTTCCAAGTATATTCGTCACTGCTGTTGAGTAGATATTTTAGTAGTTAACCAACCACTATGCTTGTCATTGAGTAATTGACTGTCTCAGAGAAAAACGCGACAAAGTAGCGTGAGGTGACACACAGCAGGCACTGTAGATGTTTTAGCGCACTCTCGCTGTTCGGCTCGCGACTAGTCTTTGTACACAGCAAGGATCGCGTTGTGCTTCCGCAGAACGACGTCCACACAGAATTTATCAGGAAGAAGTCACGGTATGAGACACACAGTTGGTTGGGTCTAGCGCGTCCGCCGGAAGCAGATCTGGATGGTGTAGGCATCTGTGAAATTGCGGCTGTTGTTCCTCACCCAGTCGCGCCATCCACTGGACCACTGGACCACTCGCCAAAACTGCGATGTTTCTCCATGGGCAACCCAGTATCTGTTTGCTATGGACTGGTTTGGCCATCTTGCATGGATGAGCTCTGGGTGGTCGTCATGGTATGTCCTGCTTCCATAGGACCAACAGAGGCACACCTGTCTCTGGTCATCATGGGCGACGCTGAAGAAGTGATCCTCAACAACGCCAAGGTTCCCTGGCATGATGGCTGGGCAAAGAGGGAGACCTACGAGCTAGTGGGCTGTA